TATGATCACTTGACTTTGAAATAATACTGCGCAACCTGGTGTTTGAGAGAATAACTGGTAAATATGATTTACTCAACATTTATAACGCCCATAATTGCACTCACCGATACCACGTAAAATATGAGACGCTCCTCTAATGGTTGCCTCATGAAAACGCCTGCACCCACAATTTTGAGTGGATCCATGAACACTCTTTGCGCTTATCTGATGCTTTGAAGCAACCACCACAATTTTTGAAATTCATTAAGAAATGGCTAAGTAATACCATTGCAAACTTGCCGTTACACGTTTTTCGGAGGCATCGTATTCGGAGTGTTAAATGACTCAATTTTTATGCAGAACAACTTTGTCTGTAGACAATTTCTTACTACACAAACTCGATTGTAGTCATTTCTTTTTTTTTTTTTTTTTTACTTTCGTTTGTTTTTTCCGTCGATCTTGTTTTCCGTGCTGAGCACCAATGCTACCGACGTGCCAGGAAGGCAGCTCCCACACCTGGACCCTACCTATCGACCCATCAACTCATGAACCGGGGACCAACGGCTTTACTTCCCATCCGAAGGAAGGCGTGATCAGAGATGTTATGCCTCAGAACAATCCCGGCGGCGCCGACTGGGATTGAACCCAGGCCTGCTGGGGTGAGAGGTAATCACGCTTACCACTACGGCACCGGCGCCGTTTGTAGTCATTTCCACATCTTTCATTTTGGATGGCTTGAGTGACACTTGCCATTGATAAAAAACACGTCTACTGAGGATTCATATATCTAAAAAAAAAATCATCTATCAATGAAACAGTCATCGGTCGTCATTGAAAAGCAATTCAACTCCGGAGTGATTTGAGATTTTGGCGAAATTGCATTTGCAAACAAACACGTCAATCGTCGATTTCTTGCGAATAAAAGCTCAATCTCGAAAACTAATTACACTATATGGTAGTGGAATCATTCCTCTATCATTTGGTATAGTTTTTTTTACGAGATTGAGCTTTTATTCACGAGAAATCGTCGATTGACGTGTTTGTTTACAAAAGCAATTACACCCAAATCTTAAATCACTCCGGAACTATGTTCTGTCAATCTAATTGAAACTTTTATTGCCTCTGTTGTCTTGTGAAATTTAGCTATAACGGCCTCTTTTCTGAATTTTATCTCTCAATCTATGGAATCTACACGAAAACTATGTTTGAACGAAATTTCTAGAACAGTATAAACAACATTATGCCGTAGACTACACATTTTTATTTCATAAGGGTAGAAAGTTCGTAGAACAAATACTTTAGCACTCTCAAATTCCTCAATTTGACGTGCTTATAGATGGCCCCCAAGATGTATTTTTGTCACTCGAAGACGACTTCAGCGGTAATTTAGTCACGAACCTCTCGTTTGCATAAATTTTTATTAAGTTTCGATTTATGTTCGTTCCATCAGAACAACGTTTGTACACAGTAAAAAAAGTAGTGTAAATTTCCGTTACTATGATGCACGTAAATGGAGCGTCATATATCATACAACACACTGAAAAAATCTAAATTTTACTGGTGATGTAAACATCCATGCCTGCAAACATTCATGCATGTAAACTTCCTTTTCACGTAAACTAGCAGCTTGCAAGAAATGTTGCAAACAAAAGTGGAAAGTTGCATACAATAGATGAAATATTGCATGACATGTCTCATAAATTTACACGATTTATAATGTAAATTTGTATGATTTATGACGCTCCATTTATGTGCATCATAGTAACGGAAATTTACACTACTTTTTTTAGCTGTGAAGTTTACATTATAGATCGCTTGAAAGTGTATGATACATGTCATGACATATTCCATATACTAAACACATAGAAATGCCTAATCTTACACGTGACGAAATCCATCTTTGACATAAAGGATTAGACGTAAACAAACATGTCATGTAAAATTAAGTGCTCCGATACTGAAAAGCTCGAAAGTACGTTTGATTGAGCTGAATTTCGCGTCTATTATGACTCAATTTTATGTCAAAACTGACGCTCGTATATGTCAGTCTCAGAGCAACTAAATTTACACCAATTTTTCTAAGTGTGTATATGCAACTTTCGATCTTTGTTAGCAACATTTCTTGCAAGCAGCTAGATTACGTGAAAAGGAAGTTTACATGCATCCAGTAAAATTCAGATTTTTTTCTGTGTTCTGTGATTTCGCATCGCATGTGCTAGTTTCCCAAATTACAATTGCTTCACTTTTTACCATGAAGATGCTACACCGTGGAGTTGGATAAATAATAAATACAGGTGCCAAAACCAGAGGCATTACATGAATCGTTGTTGTTAAGTAGTTGTGTTGGGTCACTTTTAGAAGTGCCAGCAAAACCATGCTGTATGTAGCGGGTCCGGTGAATTTTCGAAATGGATTGTCACATATTTTATATCTTATACACACATCTAGGTATAGGGATTGATAACTTTTAAATAATAACCAACTGTAGAAGTTCTAAAGAACACACAGTTTGGAGCAGGCATAAACCTCCAGTTGGGATGTAGAATGCAGAAAAAAGATGAGGGCAGTACCACAGACAAAAGAGAATCGGCGCGAGCAGAAACCGAAAACATCACCTTGATTACCTATAGAAACCAAAAGTGAGATTTTTTTTTGCGAATTCACCCATACGAGGGATACCTTTAAAGTATACCCTCTAGCCACCCCGTCGGAATAGTGTTTACGGAGTCCACCATTTAACGGAATCGTGTCGCATCCAAAACCCATAAGGTAGACTCCAGCAGTGTGCGATTTTACGACCATTCGTCAAAGCCTAGAAATAGCGAATCAGTTTAGATGTAGATTTTCATGCTTCGATAAGCCAATGTGCTTCAAATCTTTTTGGACATGAGCGTGACAAATGCGTGACGGTCAGGAGAGAGTCAGATAAAGGACCTTGAGTTTAGCTGCACAATGTCATGCGAAAGTTTATTGAATAGACCCGCCAGGGAGTACCGAAATTCATTAAAAACAATCTAATTCTGTAGAGTGTGGAAAATTAATTTGAGCAAGCCTTTAAAAATGGAAGTGGATTTACTTTGAAGTCCAAATTGGAAGTGCAAACATATGCTATTTTTGAACACAGGTTACGCTTCACAGGTTTTCTAACATTTGTCAGCCATTTAACACCACAACGCTTCCTCAACTTCCTTCCTGCTCTGATATTTTCGGAAAACGGGCAATTTTCTCTTCAGATTCCGTGATGGACGTTGCATGTTTGGTGGTGCTTCCACAAGTCACCGCACTCATCGGGTACCGGTAAAAATACTTGATCATGACCGCCAATAAGGAGAGAGACCTTTGGCTGCGTTTGTATTAACGTGTTTTGTTTTTGTTTTTGCTAGCTGCGTTGAACCAGATTGGATTGGGTTTGTAACTGCAAAGTGAAAAGTAGTGCGTAAACTAGTTTTCTATATTGAGCAGTTTATTGGTTTTTAATAGCAGGGGAAGACATTCCCATACGTAAACGTTGGGGTAAACTGACCCATCGTGATATTGATTGAGGTTTTCGTAGTTATTATTTTAATACAATGAAACATTTATTTGAAGGGTTGATAGTAAAAATACTACATTTCTTCCATATTAAATTTTTTTTTTATAAGGGACTGAGAAGCATACACTCACTTGACTTGATATAAATAGAGTGCATGAAAAAAGTTTGAAAAAATAAAATCTGGCAACCGGTAGGATTTCCATTACCAATTATATACAGGTATATAAAGTATTTGCTTATGATATGTAGGACATCGACTACTATGTGTACCTTTCAGCGTGACACTAACATCAGTCGATGATAGAGATCATTTTTCTATTTCATTATCCAAGGAATCATAAATATGACAAAATGACAAGCCATCAACGATAACGCTTTGTCAGAAATGGAAAACTATAATGATATATCTAGATTATAATCTTCTTCAATTTTTTCATGACAAACTTCTTTTGAAATATAGCTTACTCGGGCAGGTAGAAGGAAACGACTAAATTGTTGGTAAGCTGTTTCACGAAGTAAATCCGAAGATATCTTTCCTCGATTCCAATCAAGCTATGCCCTCAACCATGTAGCTCTCTTTGCTTTATGTGTTTGGATTCGCTAGAATTGTCACAGTTTTAAATATAAATTCAGAAATTAACACAATTGGGTTCTTTAATTTTAAAAAAATATCATCTGAAAGAGCTTCGTTTTCTGAGCACAACGATATTTTTTTTTCGATCCCATTTACTTCCATCTCGATTTTAAAATCAAGATTTAAAGTAAAATGCACTTCACTGTTTGACACAAAACTATCAAATTGACAGCTCGCTCCCATACAAAGTACCACCGAAGGGCGCTAAGATGGTGGTTTTTGCTAATGTAATACCCCTAAAGAACCAAACTTAGTATTTTCACCCTGATATGCGAAGTTTGTGTTGAGGTATTTCTTTATCCATACACGCAAAAATCGATCTACCCTCTGGTTGTATGAAAGCGATGAAAGCCAAAGCATTTCTGGAAAAATGCACATATTCAATAAAAAAGTTACCCATTTGTGGGTTTAAACATGGTACCCTATTCAGTGGATACGAGTACTTTTTTTTTTTTCTAGAAAAGGGTTGGTTTTCGTACAAACATTGGGTACACGTTCTTTAGGTTAACATTTAAAAATATTTCAACGCGTGAAAGTACTCAATCCCGGTTTTAAGCGTTAAAAAAACAGCTGAGTACATAGCCAATAAAACTGGGAAAGTTGATTCGCAGCATGAAGCCACCCCGGCTAGAAAAGATCATTTCGCTAATGATCATTCATATGACATTGTTAAAACTGCATCGTCATCCGGGTGCGAGTTGCATCATTGCATAATATCCACATTCATATATAGCCTAGCTCGTCCATTTGGTTAGCTAACTAACGTCTTGCCTTAATCCAGTGGTCGTTTGTTTTTCTCTTTTCCTTTTTCCGGTACATGGTCGCGTCACCGTGCGTGCGGGCACCTCTCTCCAGAAGCGCTGCATGAGCCAACCGAACGTTTCCAAAAAAGTAGACAAGGTGATCCACGAATGCCAGGATGAGATTAAGATGAGTCTAATAGAAGGTAAAAGTCCGTTCTACGATGTTAGTGGCTGGGAGGGTTGCTAATTGTTTGCAGTTTAATCCATTTCAGACGCTATACGGGTGTTCAAAGAGGACTGGCATGACCGCAAGAAGCGAGCCTCCGATGAGGAAGATTTCCAACATCCAACGGTGGTTTCGCATGAGGACAAATGGATAGCCGGGGTAAACTGAACGAATGTTTATGCTGAACATTGTCGCTGGGTGTAATGGCATAATTAAGACTATGTTTTTTTTTCTATGTTCCATGTAGTGTCTGATGCAATGCGTGTACCGCAAAAACAATGCTGTTGACAAGAACGGTTGGCCTACGTTGGATGGTTTGGTCAACTTGTACACGGACGGTGTCAGCGAGCAAGGCTACTTCATGGCTACCCTTAGGGGAGTGGATAGGTGCCTGAAAGGGACCTCCATGAAATATAAGGTTAAGAGAAATGATGTTGCGGGTGAGTGTATTAGACGTGTAAGTCAATGTTGATATAAATTTAATTAATTTTAATATTTTAATTTTAGATAACTTCGAGCAGTGCAATGTGGCATTTGATGTGTTCGATTGCATTTCGGATATGATAACCGAGTACTGTAGTGACCAGCCGAGTCACGAATTTCATTAGTCTAGAAAGAGTGTTTGTTGGTGAATGTTACTGTAAGAACGAAAAAGTACCTTTAGCAAAGATTTAGATTTACGATATTTAAAAGGAAAGTGATGTTAGTAAAGTAATGATTTAATTTTGTATTTAAACGGTTTGGTAATGATGACTGACTTATGTTTCGTCGCATAAACTAATTAAGTGAAAACCGCAAATAATTTTGCAAAAAACCTAAAATTCTCAAGTGATTTGTTTTAATTTAGTTTCAGTCTGGGCCAGGTGTGGCCAATATAGACCAGAGAACATTCAGTAAGACTATCAATGATCTATAATCTATAATCTACAATGATATAATGTTTCACATGATGGGATTTAGTTGAAGTTACATTCTGGCCACATACTCGGGGAAACCCAGACCATATCCGGGTGTGAGCATTGTGGTTCTGAAAATGCAATAAGCCTACCAATCAGGCTTGCTTCCACTCACTTGCTATAAAAACATGATTTTCTAAATTTTGAAATCATTATATGTTAAAATCATATGTTGTACTCGTTAGATACAAGAAGATGTTGAAATGCAAGTATTTGTCACATGAAACCTATTAAATTCGCTCTCAGATAGTCACAATTAGCGATTTTACGACTCGCGAGCGCTCACTCTGAGTGAACGCTCACGATTCATAAAATCGCTTATTGTAACACTCTGGTAGCAAAATTGACAGGTTTTATGAGTCAAACACTTGCCTTTCATTCTCTTCTTGCATCTAACATACACAAAATATCATTATAACATCTAATGATTTCAAAATTCAGAAAATCATTTTTTTATAGCAAGTGATTTCATTTTTAAATTGTCATGAACTTTTGTGCCTTAAGATGTGTTTTAGTCGGATTATGGCCACTTGCCAGGTGAAACCGGATCATTTCACATGATGGCTTTTAGTTCAAGAGAAATTATGGCCACTTCCCGGGGGAAATCTAAACATTTGCAGGTGTGGCCACTGTGGCTTTGGAACTCAATAAGACACCAATGTTCATATTTTTGAATTTTCATATGTAACATGATAGGTCTTAAATAGATCAAGTCAGATTCTCGCCACTTCCCCATAGAAACCTGGAACATGTCCTGGTGTGGTCATAGTGGTCCTGGAATCTGAGTAAGACTTAAATGATCTTATTTTAGATATCTCATGTGATTTTTTGTGCCGCATGATGTGTTTTAGATATAGTCAGATAATGGAAACTTCCCCGGGGGAACCCGAAATATGTCTGGGTGTTGCCAATGTGGTCCTGGAAACTCAATCGATATTATTTTTGAAATCTCATGTGATGTGTTGTGCCATACTATGTGTTTTAGTTTGAGTCAGATTATGGAAACTTCCTGGGTCAACTTCCCGGGTGTAGCCAGCACCTATACTCTTACATGGACATAAATCGCGTTATGCTTTTTGGTAAATTTCTATTAGTGATTATTCATAATTTTTCATAAGGCAACTAATAAGCGGAAGCCATACAGTACAGTTAATGAAGATCTTATGTCAAATAAACTGTATTAATAGTCAATAGTTAATATAACTTGAGTGTTAACATAGGATGTATGTGATATTCCAAATGGAAAGTATGAAGCTGTTGTTTTGACAAAAACTCATAAACGAAAAACATGAACAAATTGATTAATTTTCGTTGCGTGCAATATAACAACCAATGCACTTATTTTTGAATTCTCATATGATTTAATGTTTCACATGATGGGTTTTGTTGTTATATTCTGGCCACATACCCAGAAGCACCCGGAAGATGTCCGAGTGTGATTATTGTGGTTCAAGTCGGATTCTTGCTACTCCTTCGAGGGATCCCGGAACATGCCTGGGTGTTGTCAATGTGGTGATGGGTCCTTAATATTTTTACAAATAATCTTATTTTTAAATTATCATATGATTTGAGGTGTCGTATGACGTGTCTGCCACATTTCAGGTCGGTTCTAGTCTCATGACGATACTCACCGGAACATGTTCTGGCAACATCTCTGGAACCAGTTAAGCGATCCCAAAAATATTATATCCATCTTTTTACGCTAGTCTACTATAACAACTGAATCACCACTGTTGACTTTAGACAATTACCGTTAAAGCACATAATGGCACCGTCTTATAGTAAACATTGATTTCACAAAAAAATAGACATTCATCCATTGTCATTTTTTCTGAAATATGTAGTGATACTCTTTTCATCATTGAGAGATGAGGCAAAGGATGATATGTATTATATTTTTTTTATTGTTTAATACATAGGTGAAAGCAGCCTGAGTCCATATTGAACCCCAGGAGTAAAACAACACGGTGCGGTTAATAGTTTTTTTTAGAAGGCGTGACACTGAGAATATTTAATAAAATCATTAAATACATGCCAGCCTAAACCCCACGACTGAAACCTAAATCACGAATCTCAGTACACTCAACTGATCATCTCGCTGATGATCCATCATGCTCTGTCAAGTCAGCAGTTCACTTCCCTGTATTTCCATTCATCAGGGACGAATACGTATCTTCAATGAAAATGAATTTTAACTTTTATAACTTGAATTGAATTTATCATTTTCAAAATTTTATTTTCTGAACATTGTTCATTCGATGAAAATTATTCGTCATCTAAAATGATTTCATTTCAAAACAGAGCCTCCTACAACACTGCTATTCTTCACTGCACACCGAGGGATGCGACACATCTTAATCTCAATTCTAGATGCTGAAAAAAACTCACACTAGCGAATCAATCTTCGAAAAATCATCTTTTATTTCTCGCATATACTTGCATCAAGCTGCATCTTTTTGCAGGAAATCTTCAAAATCGACATAAATCTTCCTTCTATCTACTCAACGTGCGTGCAGCTAGCCACAGCAAAACACAATCTTTTCTGCATCGAAGATAGAGTCGTCCCCCTCGCTACACACAACGTACATATTTACGATTTTTTGACAAAACTCAGGTAATCATGACAGATCCTGACGCAGTAGGTCTCTTTTTCTCATTGAGTTCTCCAAGCAGGATTTCGCGAACACTACATTAATAATATAATTTTACACACACTAGCGTATACTGTCATGTGCACGGTGAGAATCAAACATCCATTTATGAGTAAATGTGAACCCATTGTCAATAAAAGTGACACTGCTAGCTAATTAATGAGTAATTTATTATACCAATTAAGTAATAACTGTTAGCTACTGTTAGCAGAAACTCATTATTGTTAAAATAATTTACTCATCCATTTACCCGCCTGGAGAGGACTATGCGCGTTGTTTTCAAAGATCAAAATGTCATGATGACCTGATATTTGTCAATCATGTAAATATTTACACGTCGTGTATTGAAGAATTTTTTGGTGCAAGCAATGTAAATATTAACCTTATTTGACAAAACCCAGGTAATCATGACGTTGGATTATTGAAAAAAATTTGAATGAAGAAAAGAGACCTACTGCTGTCATGATTACCTGAGATTTGTCAAACAATGTAAATATTTACACCGATTGCATCGAAGAATAACAATCTGAAAGCGTCTAATGTCAAACCGAGGGGTGATTAACTAATATTATGCCCCGTAACGTGGGTAGATCCCCTTTTCGTGGTACGTTACGGGATGTAAGATCTACCACCGATTCCTAGTCCTGACTTCTTCAAACTAGGGGAACAGGTTTTTTTCAGTAATCAAAGGAACACATCTTAGTCCTTGTTACTTTTTATTCCTTTTTGATAGTGATAAGTCCTCGGGTTGCCTGGACCGAGGATGATCTTGAAACAAGGAAAAAATAAGTTAGTTAGTATTCACCTATGCATGTGATTCCTAATCTTCTATTCGTTGTTCCCTAGTTTGAAGTGGTTAAGACTAGGGTTCTGATGCATGGTCATTATCGGTTTCATAGCTTGTTTTTGTTGTTAAGGAATCCAATTTTGACTGACAAAGGGGCGCGGCTTTGGAGTGTGTTTCAATACTCCGAAGGGTATAAATAGCGGAACCTTTCAGTTAAAATCGATTTCGTGCGATGAAGGCAAGAATGACAACTGTATAAAAACCGAATACTTCATCATTTCTCAATAGTGATGGAGTAAAACGACATGCACTAAACTAAGGACACAGAATATACTACAATAGATCAAATTACTGGTCGCAGTGGTGTTATGTCCCAAACAGAGGAAAAAAAAACTAATATTATGGCGAGCATAAAAAGCTGCATAGCGTTCTATTTTGGTGAATTAGGACTATTTGAAATAAGTAATTGACAAAAATAATTATCTTGGCACCTCTCGGTAGAACTTTGTATGAGAGCGAGCTGACAATTTGTTAGTTTAATGTCAAAAAGCGAAGCTATTATTTTGCTTTAAATCTTAATTGAAAAATCGAGATGAAAGTCTATGGGATCGAAAAAATATTTGGTTGTGATCAGATGATATATGTGACATAATTAAAGAATCCAATTGGGTGCACTGCAGGAAAACAATATTTAATTTGTTGCTATTCATTTGAGGCAGTTAGTTTCCTAGGATAAGTTGTTCATATTAAAATGAGTCACCTTTTTGCAAAAAAAGGATTATTAGGGTGGTCCTCATTTCAACAAATATCAGAAATATAACTTTTTTGTTTGAAGTTATAGGTGGTTACATTCTTGAGCAAAGTTGTAGAAAAAATATTTCAAGCAACTTTGTTAAAAAAAAAAAAACAATTTTTCTAACTCTTTATCTGATCATACCAGAGCTATTTTCCTGCTTGAGTTGGGGTGTCCCTAAAACATCAGTTTTTTATTCTTACTTTTTTTTTTGTTTCAAACATGGGTGGAGGCGAACCAGCCTCAGGCTGAAAGCCTCCTAAATAAAGATAAATCAATCAATCAATCAAACATGGTATTAGATATAATTTAAAAATCAAAAGCCATGGGTTATTTTAGCCCAAAAAGCATGCAGTCTTAAAATATCAATATATCATGTAGTTGGATCGATAATTGCATTTTTGATACGGCTTCTGAATGGCCATACAAATCAAGTGTAACTATGAAACGTAGCATCTTGCTGTTTTCTTCAAAAATGTAGGTTGTTACTAGTTCTAAAAGTCGTATTTGTACTACTTTTTGCTGAAA